TCCCCCATCTTGTTTTTTTTTATTAAATGAGAAGTGACCATTTTTGGACTAAAGATGGAATGGGGTAAGGGGGCACCAACGCTCGAACTAGCTTGTTGGCCCAATACATTCAAAGTATTCATGACATTATTAATATCCCAACTTGGGCTTGTAAAAAAACATGTTTATTCAAATTACATAACATAAAAATGAACAGCAGACTTCTCTGAATATATTTTAGTAAGACCAAGACTGAATAAAAGCCTTTTATCTTACAGTGTGACTTTACACTCACGAGGTCAAGTGTCCAGAGTTATAACTTTTTTGTCCACCTTACACTGCTCTAAAGTGGACAAAAAAACAATTGATGTAGTTACAATAGCAATGTTAACAATCAAACAAAAACAGACAAACAAACAAACAACATCTGCAATGATTTTAAGATTGTTATCTACGTATCTACCCAAGCATAGCCCCCTAAACTCAAATCATTAATATGAATACTTTCAACTTTAATTTAAAATGATCACAGACTTCCAACAATGACACTCCGAGCAGGGCGGATTGACAGAAGTTGTTTCATAAATATTGCCAAATAACCTGCAAAACATTCACGAAAGCAGTTCCAAATTTTGGTGCAACAAAATCAAGCATTAATATTTCAACACCAAAGCATAAATGTACAAAATGCAATCTGAAGCTCACACTACCTTGGCATCTACAAGCAGGCACCAGGAATATCAATTCATAATGTACTTGACACAGTTTGGTTGAACAACACATTATTTAGTGATAATTCCCTGCATGTTAATAATCTGATCTGAAGCCAGGCTGTAGCTTATACGCTGTGTTCCCACTGAATATGTATTTCTGACTGTGCGAAGGATAAACATGTTATTTAATCATCAACATGTTTTCAATCGTCATTGCTTAAGTAGGATGAACAAACCCCAGGTGGTGTACACATAGTACGAGAGACCTTTTTTTTCTAAAGGGAGGCAGGCTGAATGCATATCATTCAGCGTTTAAAGGATGCGTGCTGATCTTGCAGTAGGGCAACTTAAGGTGAACTGAAATCTGTGTCAAAGTTGAGAAGCAAGGCCGCCTTATTTATGTTGTCTGAGTTGCACTAAACACACATGAGGACTTTGCGTCATCTTCTCTTTGATTTCTATTAAACTCTGAATAAATGCATCAATTTAAACATTGCAGAAATATCTAAAAACATATGAAATGTAACTATTAACCTTAATATAATGATGCCTTCTTCCCTTGTATGATTCCTACCTGATTAGAAACTATATTCCTTTATTTAAAATGTGTAAATGTTCACACTCATACTGTACAGTCACACATGAGTGATGCTGTCAGTAATTTGTCTGTGTGAATGAATTAAAATCTCTTTAGTTGGTTGTGTAACTCTTCCAATTTAGGCTTCATTTATATCACTGCTTTGAACCAGTAATTCTATATCTGATATATCACACTGACAGAATACATAGGAACAAATGAGAGTGTAATCTAAATTGTCATATTTCATATTTGAAAACTGTGTATTGAAGAAGCAGCTTTTAAGTTCTCTTTCATTTCCTGTATATTTACAACTGAATAATGACTTTGTATTACATGTTTTATTTTTTATTAAAGCTTTCTATAGCCCAAGGCTCTGTACCAATCTCCCAACACTGACCGTGGATGCAGACTTCTTTGAACATGCTAGTTCCCATAGCAACACAAAAATTCAATAGCATGTATTCCAGTCCCTGACCTTCATAAGTAAGAGACTTGTCATTCAACTGTAAGATTATTCAGACACATCAGTATGCAAGGGCTATACTGATTAATAATGACAATTCTTGTACATTTGTTAAATGTGCACGTTTAAAGAAGGCCAGTGATACTCAAGATGGGCACCATGTTGTCATGATGTGTACCACATTCAGTAGTACTATGTGGTATTGGTCTGTGCGGTAAGGGGGTTGGGGGTGTAGTTCATGTCTTCATCTTACCCAGCAGGGCTCGATTAACACAAACTGATAAAGGGGAAAAATACTTCCAATTAAAAGATCAAATCCTGAATCAAGCAAGTATTTAAAATTATGTTTTTGTCAAACAAGTGTATTGCCTAGTTTGAATAAATGGCTGAATGCACACTGAGCACAGTGTGTTATATAGTCACATCAGGCTTATTTTTTCTATTGATAAGCGAACGCTGAACAGTACCAAGTAACAGTTATAAAAAAAGAAACCACTTAGTGAAAAAGGATTAGCAGCTAACAGGAAAGATGTTTCTCTTAAGGTTTAATCAGACCCATGGATTCATCAGGTGGCACAAATTTATTGATTGATTGCTCAAATTACTCTGAATACATAAAGTTTGCCAACATGTTCAAATATGAACTAAAGAAGCGATAAATACAGACAAACAGCCTATTAACGCTGCACTCTAGTGGGCAATAAAACTTGACTTTGATGGATAAATTAAATTACTGTAGATTATGTAACAGAACTTGACTTAGGCATCAAGTTGACACTGACTGTTAGTAAGATACGCTTTGACATTTTGGTCGTAGCCATTATTTTTTTCTGGAGCCAGAAGAGACCATTTTTGGATAAGAGGTTCGAGTAGGAGAAGAATTAGAATTAGACAAATACTACATAATCAAATGAAAAGTCTGTGCTCTAGGTTAACTCCTTAGCATGGATAATAAGTTCAAGATGTAATATTTAAAAAAAAATAGATTATTTTTGTGGTGGTAGCTGACTGGTGTTGATTCTTTGGAAGACTTGTTGAACACAGGAAAGTCACCTCTGAGTGCCCATGTATCAGCAGCAGAACAAGAAGCAAATCAACCAATCAAACCTTATTTGTACAGTCCATTTCATACAATAATAATGTAATACAAAGTGCTTTACATTTTAAAAAATCAATATTATTTGCCTGATATCTGCATGAGAAACTCTCTAAAGGGCACAAACTCCACAAACATGGCCTATAAGTCAAGTGCTGCGACTGTTATTTACTGAGAGCACACCTACAGTAGCAGACAGACGGAAACAGCATCCAACTGTGACAGAACACAGATGAGTGTTTGGAGAAAAAAAATCCCTGTATGAGCCTGCAAGAGGCTGATTTTGAATGTAGACGCTAACGGGGCTCAAGATAAACTGCTTCCTAAGTGAAGCAATGAAGAGCTGAATGGAGGATGCCGCTGACGGACTTCCTCCCTGATTAAAACTGGTCCAGTACTTACCACTCATGATAGGTACAGGATCTTCTGCTGAGTTGATAAGTGTTTTGTTTTAGAGTTAACATGCTCCAATTCACCTGTCCCCATGAGGCAGAGCATGCACCTCTCTGCACTGCCTTTTGGCCCTGTCAGCTCCTCAAAATTGTCTGCTATGTGTCTAAACTGGAGTGGACGTCTGCTCCTAATCAGAGCAATCACTCATTCGAAAGGATCCCCCCCACCCCACGCCCCCTTTTCTAAATATAGCTATTCTTAGCTCCCATATGTCTACAGTACAGAATAAACATGTATTTGTAGCCTATATATTCAGAGTTTTCAGGTTAGTGCGATTATCAATAACCGGGCTGATGTAAAGCTCAGTGGGATTCAATGAAGCTTGAATTTTGTACTCTTACCAAATGTTAGCTGTGTTCTTCTGTCAGTCTGAAATGTTTTATTCCTCTGTCACTGTGGAAAACTGATGTGATGCAAAGCTAAATTAGATCTGCTCCTGATGTGTTTGACTGGCAGCCAGTATGTGTAATGGACAAGTGGGAGCTGCCTGCATGGGGGTGGGAAACATTGGTTTATAGCTCAATTCGGCTGTTTTTATCTGAAGCTGGTCCCCATTCATGGGTGATTAACAGGCAGATCAGGGAGGTGGGCAGTGCTGCTTGGATGCTTTTTTACTAATCTAACTGCTGCTGCTGCCTCACTCGGGTAATGGCTACAGGCTGGTTTGCAGAACGCAGACAAGCAATGAGGGGAAACATCCCAACTACTGTACTGAGCTCCACTCCAAAAGAAATCCTACATTACGCAGCCATCTGAAGCGCTACAGAATGTGAGCCGACTGAGTGACAAGTACAGAGATTAAATTGATTATTGGATGTTGCAGCAGTCAAATTTAAGTATACATCCAGATCAATGCCACGGCATGTCTATATAAAAATAAAAAAGTAAAAATTTTCATTATCTGTGGACATGTATTAAGTGTATTAATTAAAATTAAAATTAAAATTAAAATTACTTCTGATCTTTACATCATTAACTGTTTGTCTTTTTCTTAATTAAAAAAAGGCAAAACTTCTGATTTGGATTTGGTTTCATACTGTTCCCTCTCTTCTGTTACTTACTGATGGTGGTTGATATCCAACAGAAAGCAGAGTTATAGCTTGTCAGTTTTTCTTAATAGAGGCATAAAAAGAAGACCTCTGTCACAGTTTGACATGAGATGAATTAAGTTACAGGGTGACCACTCAAGACTCTCTTTCTGAGCAGCAATAGAAATATTGCTCCACCTAGTGGTGGCAGCAGTTAGTTTTATACAAGGCAACAGTCTGACTTGATTTAAAGTACAGTGACTCTCCACTCAATATTTGAGGGATTTTAAAGGTCCATGGTAAAATGTCAAGAAAGGCTTGGGAGGCTGTTCCCCTATAAGTCCTTTTTATCAAAATGGTCAGTGCGCGTGCGTATGGGTAAATGTACACGAGCTCCTTTGGGAAACAGTTTTAGGGCGAGAAAAGACTAAAGAAAAAAATCACAACATGATAAGGGGGCGATGACAAGAAAAAAGTGTCAGAGAAACCCTTCAGGAAATAGTTGAATGAAATTAAAAGGGATCCTGAGAGTTAACACAAACAACACCGCACTGAGCGCGGTGCCCTATTTCCAGGCGGCTCCGTCTACCTGCGCGGAGCCCCTCCCCTCTTCTCCCCTCTGCCTCTCCTCCTCCTCCTCCTCCTCCTCCCCCTCCTCGGAGTTTGTGTTGCACTCGTTGCAGTAGGAGGGTCCATGTGCACAGAGTGACGTCGCCCTGACTTCAAGTCCTACGACTCCTTCGTTTGTTTTTAATACTCTTTTTATCCGGGGCCCTGAATCGGTAATCTGCAAAATTGCGGCCATAATGTGAGATGATCTGAGGCTGTCGTCCGACCCACCGCTGTGGTTCGTCCTGTCAGGAGCAGCGGCTCGCTGTAGAGGATTAATACGCAATTCTCCGCTGTGTCTAGCTGTCAAACTGAAAACTATGTACTGGGAAGAGTAGACGGAACACATTTGTTGACATTTATTCACTTTGCTTGACGTGTCTTTTTTTTTTTTTTTTGCCCTCTGGATTATTTCGCTGCCCAGCAACACGGCCACCTGACAACTCTGAATGTCGTAATTAAGGTAAGGAGAGCACGGAGGAGGCTGTTTGACTGCACATTTTAATTACGCGCTGATCTCTGGGATCATAATGAAACTCCTCGCTGTTCAGTCAGATTTATGTGCATACAAGCTTTGCACCCCGCGTCCCACATTTGCTGTGGGGGAATAAATAAAACAACTTTCAATCGGGACCGCTTGCTACGTCGTGAATGTCGCCATAAAGTTTAATGTATTTTTCTGTGGCAACAAAAGCTGCCACAACAGTTCTTTTCAGATTTTTAAGTGGGATAGCCTACCGCACCTGTCAAGAAGTGCTGATGAGTAGCTAGTACTGTCAAATTCCTCCTAAATGTTTGACTTTAATTATTTAATTTCTCCTTTCTTCTGCACTCGGTCTTGCCTGCAACTAAAAGGCTGCCAGTGAGACGACTTTAACACAGCAAAAATAAGTTCAACAGCAACAATACAGCAAAGAATCCTCTTTTTGAATTTATTCTGCGCAAACGCAAAATGGAGAGAGAGAGAGAGAGAGTTGCATGGTGAACAGTGACAGGACAAGCACGGCAGGAGCAAGAGTGAAGTAGCCCACAAAGCTGACTTTTTTCTAGTTTTTATTTTTGAATATGTGCACCTAATAAACACGAAATGTTCTGCAGGCAATCCAAATAACTTTAACTGGTGTGTGTTTGCTTCTCCAGAGCTGCGAGCACTTCAAAGAGTGCACCGTTGCATGCAAAGCAAATATAGAACTAGCACCCAAAGCAATGCATTATTGATAGCCTACAATAAACTCTGTCAAATGTTAAACAACTGCCAGTAATTTATTTGCTTTTTGCTCATAACACGGCCGCTCCTGCCGTTCAAGCAACATTTCAAGTTGTGTCGCAGCTATGTTGTGGCTGCAAGAGAAATAACTATTAAGTGACAGCTTTTCGACCAATCCATGCAAAGCTGGTGGATTTCAGGCTGTGCTGTCCAATAGAAGCGCAGCAGAGGTGGGAACTAAACCCAGACGACGTCACGTAGATACATTAACCATTGCGGTGCAGTTTTCCTCAAAGTTATCAGACTGTACATCTCATAAGATAAGGAGCCCAATCTGTGTGACTGAGAGAGGAAATACTGTCCTTTTTCCAGATTAAACATACTGTTAACACAGCATACTTTATGTGTTTGTTTTGTGTTTGTGTAAGTAGGTCATTACGGGCTACTATAATCAAAATCAAAGTAGTTAAAATTGTGTTACTTGAAACAATTTATCTTCTTCTTTGCAGACCCTTTTTCTTTGCCTCATCAGGTTTTTTTTTTACCCACATAACACAACATACTGGTTTGGTATCCAAAATCAAATAGACTTTATTTACACTCTAGATTTTAGGCTTATTTGCATATTCCCTCACATAGAACCTGTAATCTTTGCCGGAAGGTAAATATTCTTAAAGAACCTGCCAAGTAACCAGTATTATTTAACTAATTCCTTGTGTGCAACTGATTTCCCCCTAAATAAATAGAACTGCGAACATCTCTCATTAGTTTAATTTTTCTTTCTTCCTTCAGGTGACTCGATGAGCCAGCAATGGAGACCAAAAGATACCAAAGTTTCTTTGATGGGAGCGACACAGAGAACAAATGGTCACAGGTCCCCGGCAGTATGGAGCACTGCTGCAGCACAGAGGATTCAGGTTTGACCAGCAGCGATATCTTGATGGACATAGTCAATGTGAGCTGCCCTGCTGGAAGCCCAGCTACTGACTGCAAAGACAACAACACAAAAAAACAGGAGCAGCCAATGCTCCGGCTCAGCCAGAACCAGCCATTTGTTCTCCCACACTTCAACAACTCCCTCCATGGTCATAAGCAGGAAATGGACTCCAAGGAGCTTTCCAAGACTGTGGCTGAGTCAATGGGCCTGTATATGAATGCAGCCAGGGAGGCGGACTTTGCCTTTAGCCAGCACGGGGGCGGCACTAGCCCTGGGAAGATGTATCCAGCGTGTGGACGGCCTCTAGAAGAGACCCAGTGTGGTTCCACAAAGAGCCCCAAGTTAAAGCCATTTGGTTTTCCACAGCCAAGCATCACTCCCAGGGAATGCCCCAGTGGGACTCAGATTAGCTCGGCTTCAATGCTGGCTTCATCTCTCTCCTGCAGCCCCCAGACCTCCAGTTCAATCTCCAGCCCCGGCAACAACATGGTGTCATCAACCACCAGCCCCCTACGTGCTTTGGACCAGTGTGCTCGTCTGTTAATAGTCCTGTCAGCCAGACGTCTTGTGCCGCAACTCTGGCCAATATCAAGCGCAGGAATTCAGCAACATGTAGCCCTGTAGAGTCCAGCACAGTGGGCTCACCACCGCTTACCAGCCCGCTCAATGTCATGAGGTCACCCATGTCCAGCCCTCAGAGCATGAGTAGCGTGCGATCACCTCCGTCCTGCAGCACCACTTGTAACATCAGGTCCTCCGTCTCAAGCCCAACAGGCGGTGGCTGCACCAGTACAGCAAACAACTGTAACCCAGTAAGGCCGTCCATCCCCAGTCCGGCTATAGGAAGCAACATGGCGGTCAGCAGCCCTCAGAACCCCTCCTCTGCTGGGTTTCCGGTATCCAGTCCTGCTAGTGGGCTTGGTTTGGTGCAGAATGACACAAACAGCCCTGACACAGCGAGTCTGTCCAGAGACACGGACTTCAAACACTTTGAATTCCCTAAAGTAGAGATGGTAGACGGGGAGGTGTTCAATGTGGGCTTAGACCAGATGGGCATGGTTAAGTATATAAAGAACGAGCCAGGAACTGACTTTAGGAGCATGTGTTTGGGCAGCTCTAAATGTAACTCAAGTAGCACACCCTTTATCACGCAGATTAAGAGTGAGCCAGACCATAATGAGGGATGTATGAACCAACAACCGTACGGCGAACAGCCACCATCTCTCGGTCTCTTTCCTGCATCTGAGACCACCTATTTATCCCTAAGGAATAACATTGACGAGTACAGTCTTTCTGGTATCTTAGGACCACCTGTCTCCTCCATGAATGGGTCCTATGAGCCTGAAGTGTTCTCCAACAATGTCCTATCCAAAGGGGTTAAGCAGGAGACCACTGATGGCAGCTATTACCAAGAGAACAACAGCATGCCCACATCAGCCATTGTTGGAGTTAATTCTGGCGGACATTCATTCCATTACCAGATTGGAGCGCAAGGAACAATGGCTTTCACACGGCATGATGTGAGGGACCAGTCCAACCCTTTGTTGAATCTTATTTCGCCTGTAACGGCATTAATGGAGTCATGGAAAACTCGGCCGGGCATGTCACAAGGGTCACTGTCAGGCAGAGGTGAAGGATACCCAAACTGCATCACAGACGGCATGTCAAGGTAAGCAGAGTAAAGATTTCTCTCAAATCTGAGTGCATTCTTGTGTTTCTCCTTCAGATTTCTTGCTTTTTTTTTTTTCAAAGTTAAATAATGAACCGTAACTTTACAATGACAGGACATTTTCTATTTTTGAGAAATTATTATTATTATTATTATTTTTTTACAATCTCACTCCACCTATATAATGGTGGGTCTGTCTACTGGATCAGATAGATGAAGGGTCGGTTTGTTTCAGTGAGTCTCATATTTCACAGGGGATTTAGGGCGTTTGCTTTGAATGGTACAAAAATAAAAACAACAGCAGGGCTTGGGAAAGGCAGCGGGATGCTGGCCGGGGTAACAGGAATTAAAGGACGCCGTCCAGGTCATTGTTATAGTAGCATGTGATCACAACATCATATCTGTAGCGCTGCCCTGTGCTCTACTGTAACACAGATAGGGAAAGTTTACCTCTTATCAGGCTCCTCTTTGTATGTACAACAACAAGATGTATTGGCCTGTTATCAGGAGGTCTAGCGAAGACCTTGTGTAATGCAAATATCTGTTTTTATGGGCCCTGAGCCATTGGCAGCATCATAAATTATGAATGATTGATCACATGCTTTTGTTGCCAAACTGATGAAATAAACAGTTGCTTTGTGAGGTTGGGGGCTGTGTCTAAACAAACACGCTGAAGAGGACGAAATCTATAAGAGCTGCCAATCTGGAAAAGTGCAACTTTGACACAGATGTTTGGCGTCCACTGTATTCCGGTGTCCTAGTTGTATGTGAAGCTGAGGGAAGTTAATTATCAGCAGCACGATTAATTAGAGAAAATAAAAATGCCATTATGTAGTCCAGGAAACACTTGGTACCATTGTGAAAAACACAGAAGTATTAAATGCACCTAACAGAGGGAGGTGCAGCTGTTCATTTACAGTTTGTGGTGCTGTTTGGGTGTGATAGATTTTTATGTATTTCAATAGCATTGTCTGTCTATTGGTGTTCTCATGAAGAACAATTCCATCATCTCTGTATGCAGAGGATGTTATAAATTTAAAGTTTTACAAGCTGGTACAAAGAGGTACTAAAACAAGTCTTAAAGGACTTCCTGTTACTTTCATGGCTGTGAGAGAAGTTCAGTGTTTGAGCTGCTGCTGCTGCTGCTGGGATTTTGATTTACTTTTGCTGCTACATTCGATTGTGACTTGATCATGACCGTTTAAACTGAGGGTTTGACTGTGATGTTGCTCTATATCACGAAATGCACATTTATTTGATAAGAAAAAGTTCTTCTGATGGAATTTGTAGAAACTAACTTTTGAAGATTTCACTTGTTGCTCAAGCATTTTCAGTTGTGGTTTATTTATAGATAATATATACGATACAAACATACACGTTGACAAGGTTGTTGTTTTTTTTACTCAAGAGATGCAGCTATAATAACGTCATTATTCAAAGACACACTTAAAATTGATTTCCATTTTCCATTAATTTTTTACTGTAAGATAAGTGGTCTGATATGATCACTCTAATTCATTTTTTTAACCTAATTTCCTTTAAAAAAAAAATCTACAATGGATCTAAACTCATTGTGAAATTTTTGTATATCAAAAAGAAACACATACGAGTGAGTGTGTGTGTGTGTGTGTGTGTCATCCTGACCTGATTTTCTTATCATCAGTATATTTTATATCTTTTCTGTTTGACGTCTTTATTCAGCGTTATACGTACACTACACACTGTACTCCATCTGTGTGAGTGTGTCTGTGTCTGTGTGAGTGTGTGCGAAAGCAAGGCTTGAGGAGACTGATACAGCCCCGTTACCTTGGAGGCGACCCATATGGCAGGAGCCAAAGCGATGTTGACGGGATCACTGCCACCTTGGTCCTAATGAGATCCAGCTTAGCCCTAATGTCAGACAGGATGACAGTAAGAGGTGGGCCACAAGGCAGCCAGCCAGGCAGCAAGGGAGGCAGAAAAACACAAACACACATAAACATACATACAACTAATGCACACATACTCTCTCTCTCTCTCCTACACACACATATATTTATATACCCTCTCTCTCTCTCTCTCTCTCTCTCTCTCACTCACACACACATATATACATAAATATAGAAATGTCTTAGGAAGAACCCAAGAATCCTACATTTAATTAGGGGTGCCTATTTTCACAGTCCTCTTGAATTGATTGACAGCTATACATAGATTATATGCACGGGCATATTATATCCTGGCTGAAATCTGAAAGTGCACTGCAGGATATCGGTGGCACTTTTGAGCTTTGGACCAGACTACATTGCACCAGGGCCCAATATTTCATAGGCAAAAAATTGTTACGTAACCATTAAAAAGCACAACTAAAACTCTTTGATCCGCCGAAGCCTTGGATGACAGAGTGTAAAATCCCTCGGCTCTTTTTTTTCTCACTTTGGTTTCCTCTGTAAATGGTTTTAATTAAAAATGGCTGCTCATCTGAGCAGTCTGGATTACTTTGTGCAAAAACATTCTAGCTCAAATCGGCTAGAGAGGAAGAAGGAGAAAAATTAGTCATCCTAACTTTAATTGTTTTATTTATGTGATGTTTAATTTAAACTGAATGCTTTGGCTGACTCATAGTCCAGAACAAAGCATTGTATGTGATTAGACTTTTGAATTCTTCAAGATTTTTTGAGATTTTCACTCTTTTTTTTTTCACTACAAGTAGTACAGTATTATCTCTTCTGAAGAGCATTTTAAAAGATTTTCATGGTGGATTTATATTAACCAAATGTGCTTTGTATGAAAAATATAAATATGGAAATTTTGATAAAATGACCTACATTAGTTTTGCTGGATTATGCTTGCTCACTGCCTAAATCTGAGAATCTCTTTTCACCCTATTCAGGGCATTTTCCTGCTGGTTTTCACAGTCATGTTAAACCAAATAGAATTACTCTAAAACTTGTCAGCTCCCTGACCTAATAATCATAATCTGACAAATGGTACAGGCTTAAAATAGTGAAAACCAACCGTTTTTTTTTTTTCATTTAGAAATGCTCTCATTAAATTCCTTTTGCTATATTTATAGTTTCTGGAGAAGTGGCACCAAACTATATAGTCTGACCTTTTTCCCTGCAGCCAGTTTCTGCAGATCCACACCACAGTGTGCCCTTCATGAGGAAGGTCCAGATAGGAGCGGGCAGAAAGCTTTAGACTGGACTCTGGCCAACTCTCAATGTTCTGCAGAGGGATGAAAAGGCATACTCCTGAGAGCACACTAATAAGGCTTTAATTGTATGTTCCTCCACTAAATTAATGGATGGAAATGATTTGATTAATTCAGACACTGCTGGATACTAATATCCAATTAAAGCCCAACACCAGGCATGCACAGGGGCTCCCAGTGCATTATGGGTTCCTGACTGAGAAGCGGGCAGCTGCTTGTGTTTGGGTTGTGAAAGGATAATAAAGGTGAAGGTGTTCGGGAATGATGGTGGAGTTCAGCAGTCTACACAGCAGACAAAATCATCTGGCAGAGAAGTTATTTCATACTGTAAGCACGTGTATTCATTCTTTGCATTATTGAATATTCTGTCACAAATTCACTATAGAGTTAAAATTAAATCTAAAATAAAGTTGAATTGTGCTGAATTTAATCTAAAGCCAGTAGGGTCCACACTATAGTAATAAGTTATTTTGTGTTTAAGTTTTACTCTTTTCATAAAACATTCTACGCTAAATAATTTAATAATGTTTGGTAGCTTTAGAAAAACATGAATTATTTTCTTAAGCTCCCTCTTTTAAGTGTTTAAAAACTTGTTCGTAATAAGTCAAGTGCAGCCCTGAGAGCTGCGGACTGTGACTCATTTATGCAGGAATGATTGAGGATTGCCATTTTTCTTAAGCAATTAAAAAAAAAAGAGTAAATCTTTCAACATTTTACAAACGTTATGAATCAATTTTTCCTGTCATTTAATTATGTGACAACTAGTACGAACATTGATACAAATAATGGTGCATGGAGGTTGACACTTATCCACACTTGATGGATAAATTGGGGTCAACCGGTTGAGGGTTGAAGTTGTCATGTGTTCAATATAGAGAACAGTTTTACAGTTCCAACCGCAGAACTCTTACCACGTTTCTAAAGAAAATATGTATTTATTTAATTTTTTCATTTCATTTCAATATGTTTCAAAAGAGCTTTTTTTCAATTAACCCAGACCGTGTGCTGGTTTGAAAGGACATTGGGTGAAAAAGGTCATGTTTTTCAGAGTGATTGAAAACCCTTTAAGAGAATTGACAGTCGACTGAAGGATTCTTAGAAAAGTTAATCTCAGCCAAGAATCATTGAAATAAATATATATTTAAAGGGAAGCACACTCCCAAACTTTTTCTGCCTGGCCCCTCTTTGGAAGAAGAAAATATTTTCAGGCCCCTCCTCCTACCCTCCCCATACATATCAAAATATATATTAACGTACACTAATCACACTGTCAATCACGCTTTTTGCTTACAAACTCCTGTATTTTTAGAATTCATCTCAAACATTCACTCCGGAAGTAAAGAAAAGCAACTTTAGTGTTTGACAACAAACTATCAAGCAGCTTTTTAAAGAGGAGGCAATTAAAAGTGACACTGTAACATGAAACTTCCAAATTTGTGACGTCTGGTGTAGATTCATTGTCCATCTTACATTAACCTTCAAATCTTCTCACAAAATTTGCCTAGCTAGCAGTAAGAAAACTGTGCATTGTTATTTTAAGCAAGGCCAGGCCCCCTCCATCATAACTCCTTTTGGGAATCACTGCCTAAGGGCACACTCGGAACTAGACAATCCTGACATGCCTAAGCACGCTTCACCCCTAAAGTCCAGTTTGTTTGACTAGTGCTCCAATCCGTGCTCAAAAATGGTACACTTCCTTGGCCCTGGCACACTTCGAATAGGTGTGCTTCAGCACGGTACAGTTCATGTACGAGCACAAGCACATATACACAACATGGACAGCCTTCATTATGGAGATATCCTGGAG